GCTGTGCCTTTGTGGTCCCCTCAGCAAAGAACAGTGCCCTCACAGCACTGAGATTCCTTTGTGCATGAGTTCCCTCTGCTAGCCTGAGCTGAGCCTGACCTGCTGCCCAGGCACAGTGAACCCCAGCGCTTTACTCCTGCCCCCACCTCTGGCAATAGCAGCTGCAGAGATGCTCAGCATACACACATACACACATATGGACCTACACACTCAGAAGCACACACATATGCACACACGTGGAGTGAGTTTTCATGCGTGGCCATACGCACATATATATAATGTACACAGAGGTGCACACACTCAGAGATAAGGGCACATGCATGCACACAGACACAAGTCCACGCGCACATACATGGCCTAGAACACACATTCACACACATACATGCTGACACACACTGACTCACAAAAATACCACACACATGTGCTAATTGCACCAGTTCATGTGGAGATACTGTGATACTGCATCATGCATTGTTTAAAAGTTTAAAGTTCTCTTTTAGAAGATGAATATTTGCATGAAGGGTCACAGTGCAAAGTTATTAATTTCTTTACTTCTTAGTTGATGTGGGTCTTAGCAAATAGCTCAGAGATTAATGAAAGATCCCGTCAGTCATAGCGGAGATGGGTGCCAAAGGAGCGACAAGTCCCCCAATGTGAAGGTGTGTTTTGGGAGAGAAGAGACGAGATGGACACAAAATAAGAGAAATGAATAAAAACTGATCTTTTTTGCTTGGGCTACTTTAGAAGTGTAGCATTTTTAAACTCTAGTGATTTAGAAACTCAGGAACATTTTTGGGTGTGTTACACATGGACTGAAGACTTGGGTAAGTTTAGGAAAGCATCTTTTTAAGGTCTGGGTGAGGTGGATGTTATTTCTGATTCTTTTGTAACATTTATCCTGACCTGCAATGGTGGATTTACTTTTCACAAGATTAAGGTATATTGGAGGCAGTCAAATGCCTGTGTTGTTTCCTCACAAAATCTATTCCTCTGTATTTGTGCCTCGGCTGATGTACAACTAGAGACCATCAGACAACTTTGTGACATCCATTTCCAGTCCTTTATTTATACCTTTACTTCCTTAGTACTATTATACCAGAGATTTATTTTTTGCTGATCCTAAAATGGACACAAATATTGCTATCAAATTTTGTCCTATCAGTTTCTCAACTTGGGGTGTCATTCTTTATAAAATATAAAATTTTCAGGGCTCTCCCTGATGGCACGATGGATTAAAAAGCACATTATGAAGCTCTCAGAAGCCACGGCAACAGGAGTTTGATCCCTGACCAGGGAGCTGACCCATATGATCCAGCAGACCTCTCCTGACACGCCCAACTGCTCCCCTCAGCAGTGTATTTCAGTCACTCTGCCTGTTCTGCTCTCCACTCTGTCTCTGGTGAATCCTCTCACCCACCACACCTCTGGCCTGTGCACCCTAGTTCTGTAAGCATAAATAGATAAATATTTTAAAAGTATATATAAATTTTCAAAATTCAAGTTTGAAAACTATGACCTTAAGTCAGAAGGAAGTGCTGTCCCTCTCTGCCTTCCCCAGTCCCCTCCCATGATCTGCCCTCTTTCCTTCATGCTGCCACACATGCCTCTGCCCGAGTTGTGACCCAGGGCACAGCATTTCATGTTCAGAGCTCCAGGTTTGGAGTCAGTGGGCCCAGATGCAAATCCCAGGTTTGCCTCAGCTTCTTCACCTGTAAAATAAGAATAATCAGCATGCCTACATCATAGGGTGGTTGTGTAATTTTGGGATATTTACTTAACCTCACAGTTTGCTCACCTGAGGCCAACAATAGTATTTGTGAAGTAAAGGAGGCGAGGCAGACAATGTGTTTATACAATACCTGGAAAACTAATTTTTAGTGGTAGCTGTCATATACTTGTCCTGCGGTAGACTTGAGCCATTCTAGAGAAACCGATTAGTCTTCTAAACATAATGTATAACAAGAGAGGTAATTTTCCATCTTTTCTGGGAGCTTAACATAGCTTTCTATTATGTTCATTCAAATATATACTTATTAAATATTTATTTATGCACATAAGAACTGGGATACAGGCCAGAGGTATGGGGGGGTGAGAACATTTACCAGACAGAGTGGGGAAAAGAACAGGCAGAATGACTGAAATACACTGCTGAGGGGGGCAGCAGGCAGGATAGGAGAGGTCTGTTGCACCATGTAGGTCACCTCCTTGGTTGGGAATTGAATTCATGCTGCAGGGGGCTGTGGATAGCTTCATAGTGCTGTGCTTTAACCTACTGTACTATGAGAGAGGGCCCTCATTCATATATTTTTATAAGATTAATTTTTCATGACCTTGAATAAAATTTAATCAAAATATTTAAAAGATGTAGTAGGCCAAGGCCTATACTAGGAAGTAAAGTCCTGGTTTAATGTCATAACTGAATAGTTGTGACAGATTGACTTGAAAGCTCTGAAAGCTTTAAGTATTTATCAATTGTTTCTTCAAGATAAAATTTGCTGGTAACAACACTGATCACACCCACCTCTTCCTTTCCCCTGAGCTACCTTTTGCCAGACATGCATATTTATCAGAGAACCACCTGATGTCAAGAATGTCAGGGCTGTTCAAACCAAGTCTGCTGCAAGGCACTATCCATTTTGTCCTCATTGACTCTGGAGAAACTTTATCAGCTCCTGAGCATTTTCTCTAGTTGAACTTGGACAGTACCTGGATGTGGTCAAACCAGTGTGAGAACTAAAACTGGAAGTGCACGTAAGAGTTTGATCATTCTCAAAACTGGTCCTTTGGCATTCTTTCAGTTAGGGTTTTTTTTTTTTTTTGTCCTGGATGAAGGTCTGGTGTGCTTTGGCAGTTTTGCAAACCTGTTCTAATAAATCAAATGATTTAAGTACCTTCACTGTATTTTTCTATTGGTTAAATGAAACTAGATTGTAGATCTGGTTCTTTTCTTCATTTTTTAAAATGTGCCTAGTGTCTGTCAAAAACAATCTGTGGGGCCCTCCCTGGTGGCGCAGCAGGTTGAAGCATAGCACTGAGAAGCTTAAGCCACTTCCGCATGAGTTCGATCCCCGCCTGCCCCAGAGGTGACCACATGGCGTGGCAGACCTCTCCTGACCCGCCCGCTGCTCCCCTCAGCAGTGTACTTCGTAGATCTGCCTGTTCTGCTCCCCACTCTGTCTCTGGTGAATCCTCTCACCCTCCGCATCTCTGGCCTGTACCCCAGTTCTGTATGAATGAATAAATAAATCTTTAAAAAAAAAAAAAACAATCTGTGAGATACCACTATCTCTAGTTTGAGGACTAGAGCAAAGAAAGATGGGGAAAGGTGGCTGTCACCAAACATGCAGCGGACAGCTGAGTCCAACCCAGTTTTAGACACTGTCCCAGCCGCCAGGGTTCCCAGGAGGGAACTGCCTGCCTCAACTCTGCAGTGAATATGCTGGGGCCTCTTGTAGCTTAGGAACTGCAGGGTGGTCTGAAAGATGATAGACTGTGTGCTCCTGAGGATTGGGCGTGCCAGGCTGTTGACTCTGGCAATAGAATCCAGCTGATATTTTTGCTGGGTAAGGCTAACTGGGTAGGGGATCACAAGGGTACCCCTAACTTATTAGCCTGAGTCATAGGAAATTGCTAGTATTCAGTCATTCTGATCTTCAGAAACAGGTTCAGGGGCCTCCTTGGTGGCACAATGGGTTAAAGCAAAGCACTATGAAACTATCTGCAGCCAATGCAATGAGAACTTTCAGTAAATAGAAAAAAGGCAAGAAACTAAAGACCAGTGAATTTTCCCTGCAACTGATTTATATCCATTGGAAAACAGAATATTTCCTAGAACGTTAGTCATTTTATTCTTGTCTAAGGGTCTGTTATGAATTGTAGCCCCTCCAAAAAGGCATGCCGAAGTCCTAACCCCCCATTTCCTCATGTGACCTTATAAGGATTAGCTCTTTATTCAAGTAATCAAGTTAAAATGAGGTTGTTAGCCTGAGCCCTACCAATGGCTGGTGTCCTTACAAAAAGGGGACATTTGGACAGATAAATAGGAATGAAGACAAGGTGAAGACAGACCAAACGCCCTGTGCAGATGGAAGGCTGGAGTGATACATCTACAAGCAAGGAATGTTAGCTACTGGAACAAGGGGGAGGCGTGGCCAATTTCTCCCTTAGTACCTTTGAAGGAAGTGCGGTTTGTGATATCTTGGTTTGGGACTTTTTGGACTCTGGAACTGTGAGAAGATGAGTTCCTGTTGTTGTTAAGTCACCCAGTGTATGGAACTTTGCCAGGAAAGTCCTAATGTTTTGGTCTGAGTATGTTTCCCCCAAATTACTATGATGAAACCCTAATGCCCAATGTGATGATTTTAGTAGATGGGGCTCTGGGATTGCTAAAATAATTAAGTGTTACCTTCATGAATGAGATGCGTACCCTTATAAAAGAGAATCTAAAAAGATCTCTAGACCTTTCTACCATGTGAGTATCCAATGAGAAGACTGTCCTCACCAGAAGGCGACCATGCTGGTGCCTTGATCTTGGACTTTCCGAGTTCCAGCAATAAATTTCTGTTTATTTCAATCCAAGCCAATGAATGGATGAAGACATCTAAGAAGGTACTTGGCACCTCCAGTGATGATCAACTATGCTGTTAAGACACAGTAGCACAGCACATGTCAGAAATAGTATACCTAGAGTCCAAGACATATTCGAAGTATACAGTGCTACAGGAACTAGTCGTGTATCCTACTATAGCCCAAAATATTTGTTTTGATACACCAAAGCTAACTTTCTAATTTATAATACATGTGTACATACATACACCACATACACACACTCACATATTTATTCCTTCCTTTTCTTTTCTGTTGTTTCCAAGCTTGTGGTTTCAATATGAATTTTTCTATGGTCTGCAATGGGACAGACATCACACTTGTGCAAGCTTCAAGTCTATTCAAATTTCAGAAGTGGAGACTTATCTAAAGGAGACAGAAAGAACTGCTGAGACTCTCACAAGGAGTGTTTCTGTATTAAAAAGTTTAGATGGTGGAAACTCCTGGAGTTAGTGGTACTCAGGCTCTCTGGAGAAGGTCAGTGTTAGCAGGCTTCTGCTGGTGGGGGCCTCAACAGTGTGGGGGAGTAGGCCCAGGATGACAGCTTATTCCAGAAGACAGTCTTTCGCGATTGGTGTGGCATTCAACAGGAGCTCTTTTATGTCAAACTTTTGTTAGGGTCCAGCTTTATAAATAAGCCTAAACAAACAAAATAATCGAATATAAGTCAACTGATTTAAATCTGATGGGACTCTCTACACTGAAATACAAAGAAAAGCATTTAGATTTATGTTTTTACCATCTCATCTGCCCACTCTCATTTTCAGCCAAATTAGGAGTCAATTTTTGATATCATAATACCGTAACAGAAGGTCTTCTACTTGGGCATTTCATGATTCATCATCACTTTCCGTAAGAGATTGTCAGAGATGAAATAAAAGTGAAAATGAGCCAACCTTTATAATACTGAAAGATTTAGTGAGACAACAATATAAATCACAAACTGTACTGACTACAGGTTCAAATTATTCACCATCTTCTTCCTACTTCTTTTAGTCATCATTCTTACAAAGAGCTGGTACTTAGGGGAATAACAAATTTCTTAAAGCAAGATACATAAAGCATTAACCATAAAGGAAAACATTTAATAACTGTGACATTAACATGAAAAATCCTGTTCATAAAAGATATCTTAAAGCAAATAAAAGACAACTTACATATTTGGAAGGAGTTATCTGGTCAACAATTTGTCAATAGTAAACAATATTAAGTTTAATAAATATTATATCAAAGGACCCATATTAATAAATTAAGAAAAGAAAAAAAAGGTTGAACAAATAGGAATTTCACAGTGGGAAACAAATATGATCAATAAATGTTTGAAGAGCTGCTTAACTCCATAGGAGGCCAGGAAAATATAAATCAAGATCACATTGAAATACCATCTTATAACCATGTGACTGGAAGAAAATCAAAAAGTCTGACTTCACTAATTGCTCAGGAAGATCAGGGCAAAAAATCTCAAAAATCACAGGTGGGAATGTAATTTGGTACAGTTGCAGCAGCCTGGCATTCCCCTATTATACTCCACACCTAGAAACCCTACTCCTAATTATGTGTTAAGTTTTTGTCTCTCTCTCTATATATATACATCCTCGGAGACACAAACAAGAATGCTTGGTGTTGAATGTTGAACATTTGGTGGTGAAGTGAGAAATTGTACACCTGAAACCAAACAGTTAAGAGTAGTCCCAGCCAATACAGCCAGGCCTACCATCAGAAGAGGTGCTCAGTCTGTGTGCTGTGGTCACAATGGAATATTGTACAGCAGTACATGAGCAAACAGTCAAGAACATGAGTGATCTCAGTAACATGAAGCTGAATGAAAACAATAATATCAAGACCTAGAGAAGCACATAAAGCATGATTTCTATTCTGCAAAGTTCAAAACAAATAGACCTTAGGTACACACACAAACACATATATGTACTTTAAAAAAAGATTATTTATTTATGCATACAAGAGCT